ACACACACACACCACCACACACACAACTCAATACACACATACACACAACACACACACACCACACCACACACACAACTCAGCACATACACAGCACACACACACTTACCATAAGGTACATGGCTCCAGAAGGGCGAACTGGCTGGAGTCCAGGAATGGCAGCCAATGCCCCATAGCAGAGGTCTGCATTGGACTACAAGAAGGGGCAGAAAGAAAAAAAAATCAAGGATCAAATTTTAAGTAAAAGAAAAGCATGACTTTTACATGTAAATTTTTGTATAATAAAGCTATTTTTTAAAAAAAAAGACATAAAATCATCATTGAAGGTAGAACCTTCATTGAAGGCACAAAGAGTTAACAAGACCAAAATCCCTCACTTCAAGTTCTTAGCAGGACAGAGTGAGTTACAGGAAGTGAGAAGAATGGGTCTATGAAAATGACATTGATGCCACCTTCTGCTCGGAAACCCCACATTGGAACAAAAATTAGGGACGATTATTCCTTGTTCCACTGATGCGTTCTCTGGCTCCCGAATTCTTCAAGTGGAAGGCTCCCAGCTGCCGTTTTACCTTAAGGAAGCTTAAAGTGTCGTGGTAAAACTCTTGAGGGGTCCGCTGAAGGATACTCTTCAGGGCTCCCTGGACAATGGTGCACGGCCCCAGGATCCTCTGGCTCAGCTTCACCAGCCCATCTCGAATCTAGAATCCCCAGGAAACAATGATTTAGCGATTCTAAAACACCCCTGTGTGGTGACTCTATTCTGACCTTTCCATCGGGTTTTTACTCTCCGGACCCTCTTACATTACACCACCTGCATCTACAGCCCGACTCTGTCACAAATCTACATGTGACTGTGGGAGATAGTGTAACTTCTCTGCACCCTGCTTTGCTTGACTGTAAAATGGCCTCAAAGGGTGTCATGAAGATAAAATAAAAATAGGGTTCATAACACATGAGCAATAGTGCTTTCACTACGGTGAATGTCCGCCCTTCCGGAGTCTTAAAATTGGAGGCCGATGAAATTTCTTCACAGACGCAGAGACCCAAACTTGTGATACTGGATTTGGATGAGGAATATTCATCACATTTCCAGGCACTGTGAGCAATACTGTCGGGAGGAGGAAACCCTACCTCCGCAACACTGAGTGTTCAAACTAAACACAAACACTAAATTACTCATGCCATTTTACCGTATTGCTCTCACCTCGTTGCCAAAAATGTCTCTTCGATCATGGATGAGGATCCAGCCCAACCTCCAGCCAGGAACCAGCCAGCGCTTGGCCAGCCCACCGCAGGACAGGATGGGGACATTGGTGCTGAGGGTGGCCAGGGGTTCATATTTGCTATCGGAAAACACCTGAGGAAAAGAGGAGCTCTTGAATGTTCTGGATCTTGAGCCTTCCATTCCCCTCCTTAGATGTTGAGGAACAGAGTAAAGGATCATCAGGCCCCTTCCCACCCTCAGGCATGACTGGATCCCACATGGTTCAGGAAAACTTATCCAAAGACAATTTGGTGTGTGGTCTGGATTAAAGGAAGCCTAAAATGAGGACAGAGATGCTAGTCGAACAGTGTATACAACTTCTGAAAATTGGCACTGTGGAATTAGGGTTGGTGGAGTTATAGATTTTAAAATAAAAGATAATAAATAAATAAAATAATCCAATATCTAACATTCCTGGGCCAAACTATGTTGCAGAACTCAGACTTTGGGAAGAATTAAAAGGCCACACAGCACATTTGCCATATGTAATATTTCCAAGGCAGTCTAGAATAATACTCCCCATCAGTAACACAACAGTCCTCCCTCTTCATCTGCGCCTTTTTTTAAAATTTCTGATGCTGAGAATTGGACCCAGACTCAAGCATGGACTAGGCATGTACTCACCCACTGGGTTACATTTTGAGGACTGCCCCCCGACACCAATCCTCAAATATACACATCTATAAACAAGAAATCTACAGATACCTTTATATTCTAGCAACTTGTCATCTGTATTCAGGTAAATCCTGGTGCAGGAGAATTGTCTGTATTCTGTCAATCATGTTTTAAATAAATGCTGATTGTCCAGGCAGGAAGTATAGGCAGGAAAACGAGACAGGAAGTAGAGGTAGAGCAAAGAGAACAGGAGTATTCTGGGAAGCAGGAAGCTCCCTCCGCATTCCTGCCCAGATCACTGAAGAAGCAGCATGTCATCTGCCCCGCTGAAAAGGGTACTGAGCCATGTGGCTAGCATAGATAAGAATAATGGGTTAATATAAGCTATAAGAGCTAATAAGAAGCCTGAGCTAACGGGCCAATCAGTTTATAAACTTTTTTGGGGGACTTGCCGGCTGCGGGAACAGGACAGGACAGAAACCCCAACAAACAGCCCCTCATGTTACAAAATTCCAAGAACTTTAGGATTTCCCAGGTCTTGGAATGAAATAAACAAACAACTAATAAACTAAGGAGACGTGGTCTGTGTATTTGAAGAGAGGGCTGTGCACAGCTTCCAAAGATTCCATTAGCTAACTCTAGACACCCCGTCAAACAAAATGGTACTGAGACTCCTATAGTGTTATAACCCACCCTGAACTTACCATGTCACCATAGATCTCATCAGCTAAGATGGGGACACATTGCCTTTCAGCCACTGAAAATTAAAAAAAAAAAAAAATGCTGGAATCATTTTCAGTTTGAATGATCTTGTCGTTTCTTCATACCTAGGCCTCTGGGGTCTGCATTTGGAGCTCGTGGGTCTGACTGTCCTCTTAGGCGCTAAATACATCTGGCATTCTTCCAGGATGTTAGCCTAACTCTGCCGTTTAACCACGGATTTCAGACTCTCTCTTCCACATGGCGGTAGTGAAGGTAAATACGGGTGAAAGGCCTCTTAACCAAGATGCCTGGGACAGGGGTTTGAGATTTGAGTGGTTTATTGTTATGATTCGTCAGGGGTTTGTTTGTTTGTTTGTTTCGGATTTTAAAAAGAGGGATTTGGGGATATTTATACAGACTTGCCATTTGAACATTTCTGATCTGGAAATGTCAAATGCACCAAAATGGAACGCTTGCCATATGGGGATCAGCAGTGTGCAACCTGTATTTCTCATTTCCCCCTTCTTCGAAACTAGCCCTGGGGTCCATGAAACATCATTGATTAGAGCTGGGGCTGGCGTTTCTTCACCCCCGTCCCAGGCTCAGGACAACAGCTAAAGGAGTCTGCTCTCACTTCGTCCCCTGTGAAGGGGCCTTTGGCACTTACCTGCCAGAATCTTCTGAAGGTGCCTCTTACTGAACACAGAACCACAGGGATTTGAGGGGTTGTTGACAACAAGACAAGCCGTCTTGTCATCAATCAGAGATTCCAGTTGTTTTAGGTCAATTTCCCAAGACTTCTCAGGCTGAGAAAAAAAAAAAAAACAAGAAGAAGAATGAGACTAGGATGTTTCTGAACAATTTAGGCAGAATACTCTGCCCAGGGATTTGGTATAAAGAACAGAGTAAGAGGCCAGTGAGATGGCTCAGCCGATAAATGCCACCAAGCCTGATGACCCGAGTTCCATCCCCATGCCCCACGTGATGGAAGGAAAGAACCGACTCCTGAAACGTGACCTTAGACCTCTACACCTGTGCCATTGCTTGCACACACCAAGCTCACTGCTCCATGCATGCACACAAACATACATACAAAATAAATAAACATGATTTTTAAAAAAATAAACTGCCTTTGAATCATTTCTTTTTTTTTACAGGGTAGTAACTGAGCACTTGAGTCAAAAATGAAAAGTCAGAGCCTGGAGAGATGACTCAAGGGTTGAGAGTACTTGTTGTGCTCGCAAAGGACCCAGGTTCAATTCCCAGCACCCACATGAGGGTTCACAGCCAATTGTAGCTTCGGTTCTAGGGGCTTTAACCCCCTCTTCTGGCAGGCACACGAATGCCACACAGACAAAATACTCATACGTTCAAGATAAAATAAACATTTTTTAAAAATCAAAAGTCAATTACCAATAGATTGTAGAGCTTGACCTCAATTCCCATAGATTCAGCCAAAGTCCTATAGAGGGAGAACCCGGGTCTCGGAATAAGGATGTTTTGTCCTGGATTGGCCAACACAGCTAAGCAGAGCTCAATAGCCTGACTGCAGCCACTTGTCAGAATGACATCCTGCAAAGAACGGAGAAGGGTGGACTTGGGAGCAATGATTAACTTACTTCAAAAAGTGCCAAGGAAATAGGAAGGGTTGTGCTGAGCCCAAACCAAATCTATCATCTATCTATCTATCATCTATCATATGCATGTGTCTATTTTTCTAATGCCCATCTCTTAGCTATCTCTAAATGTTGTTGAAAATGATGGTCACTTAAAAAAAAAAAGTAAACAAATCTCTTTAAAAAGAACAACCTGGCTATGAGTCAACCAACTTTCAAGGGAGATCTTCGATTGACCTTGGTCTATTTTCCACCAAGTTATTTATTTACTTTTGATGGCAGACTTGAAGCCTGACTTTTCTCTGAACCCAGATAAAAGACACCTCTTTGATGAGGAAGTAGACAATCCTCTTATTGGGCATCCCCTAAAACTGGTACTGACAGGGACTCGGTTGCCATGAGACCCCTAGCGTTCTCTCTCAATGCCCTAAAATGAGTGAAGGAAGATACATATTTAAACACATCCTAATGATAAATTCTTTTAAATTAAATTATTTGCTATTTTTTAATTGTTTCTCAATGGTCTTTTGAAGGATAAAGTCTAGGATGATTTGGGGGTCCTTTGAGACTCCGTGACAATGCTTCGTCAGTGGTAGAAGACACCCCTTACACTGTGTGTAATTACACTGTGTGGCGACATTAATCACAATTATTGATATATGAAGTTCTCAATTTGTTAAAGGGTGGTTCTCCTCAGCTCTGCTCAAATCACCACTCCTTGTGGGATAGAAGCAGGAGTCTGCTTGCTCTCAGTGGCCTCTAGGCTGGTATCCCAGCTCACCTTAGCTTCCAGGGGAGCCTCAGCACAGTGATAATAGGAAGCGACCTCCTCCCGACTGGACAGGTAGCCTGAAACAAGACAGGGGAGAGGAAGCTGGTGGTTTTCCACCCTTGGTTGACAGTCTTGCCCCAAACACTGCTTCCAGCTGCTTCCTGTCCTCGCTTAGGGACAGTTTATTCTGTGTGCCTAGTCACCATATGTAAAGGGGATTAACTTTATATGTGGCAGCGTTATGAAAAGTACAAATGTATGACAACAAGAAGCAGTTCACAAACCATAAAATGCACTACATAATCTTGCCTACTGTGATTGCATTTTATGGTGCTGTAAGTAAAGGTTTAAATTATTCCTGAGTCCCTTTATATGGGGTCTATTTTTTTTAATGCTACCGACAGTTTCAATGCATATGATCCAATTTCAATGTTTTATCTTATATATATATACTTATAGTATCTTTGTACAAGAGTTCTTTTCTAGAGCATTCCCAACATGGCTTGCAGGCTTAAAGTAATAGCAGTTTCAAACTGCTAATTATTATATTATAATGTTTTACAAAATTTCTTTCCAGGAGACAAGTTAGCAAAGATACAAACTGTATCCATCTTCTTTCATTTAAGATACACTAATGGTTCTTTCAAGTGACATTGATCAACATTTCCTACTTTATTAATGGAAAATTGGAAAATAGGTGGTCTCCAGGAAGAACATATACCTTGAGACCACCGTCCTCTCTGCTCCTTCACTGTGCAATGCTCAGACCCTGTGAACACTTCTCAGATGAAGGTTTGATTCCAGCTTCCAAGCTCAATTACTTTGGATAACAAAAGTATCTATTTGTGTAGTGTGGGGTGTGCACTTATCACAGCACATGTGTGGCAGTCGGAGGACAACTCTGTGGAGTCGGCCCTCTCCTTCTGTTATGTGGGTTCCGGGCATTGAACTCAGATCATTAGGCTTGGCAGCAAGCATTTTTACATCTCACTAGTCCTCATTATAATATTTTTGTGACCTAATTTTGAGTCTTGAATTCGATTGTTTTTTGTGCAACTTTCTAATATGTAAGCAATTCACCTAAAAGCATGTCTCAACTGCACAGTGGTGGGGCACACCTTTAATCCCAACACTTAGGAGACAGAGGCAGACAGATCTCTCTCAGTTCAAATTCGAGGCCAACCTGGTCTATGGGTTGAGTTCCAGGACAGCCAGAACTACACAGAGAAACTCTGTCAATAATAATAATAATAATAATAATAATAATAATAATAATAATAATAA